GGCAGCGGGCCCTGCGCCGGGCGCTTGGAAGTGCTCTTCAACGGGACCTGGGGAGGCGTGTGCCGGCCGCTGAGCCCTGCCTCCCTGGGAGTCCTGTGTGGGCAGCTGGGCTGTGGGCCGCAGGGACAGCTCCAGGCGGCGGTGGGGACCGGGAAGGCCCCTGGGACGCTCTGGGTGGCCTCCATTCAGTGCCGGCACAGGCACGACCTGTCCCTGTGGCAGTGCCCGTCAGCCCCCTGGGACCAGCGTTCCTGCTCCAGCCAGGAGGAGGCCTGGGTGGTGTGTGCAGGTGAGGGAGCCGTGTGTGTGTGTGTGTGTGTGGGGGGGGGGGGGGGGGCGTCTGTAAGGATCGAGCCCCAAACCTGGCCCGACATGGATCCCCCTGCAGCGGTCATGGGCGCAGCCCCCTTGCTCTAAGGCAGCGGTTCTCAAACTTTCTAATGCGGCGACGCCTTTATTACAGTTCCTCATGTTGTGGTGAACCCCAACATAAAAATTATTTTCGTTGCTACTTCATAACTTGAAATATTGCTGCTGTTACGAATCGTAATGTAATAATCTGATATGCAGGATGTATTTTCCATTGTTACGAATTGGAACATCATTAAAGCATTAGTGATTGCTCACAAAAACAGGATGTATATGTATGTGTTTTCCGATGGTCTTAGGCGACCCCTGTGAAAGGGTCGTCACCCCCAAAGGGGTCGCGACCCACAGGTTGGCGACCCACAGGTTGAGACCGCTGCTCTAAGGGATGACGCTACCACCCTCACTTTGCCTTATAGTCCCGGGTGGGCTGGTCCAGCACTGGGGAGAGTCCTTGCCCTGAGGGTCTGAGCTGGGGGGTCATCTGGAGTCTTCTGAGACCTCCGGACTCCCGCACAGTGGGGAGCAGGACCCTGGGTGGGCAGCTTCCCGTGGGGAAACGTGCTGCGTGGAGAAGCCCAGGACAGTGTGGGGAATCCTCACCCTGCGTGCCTACCCCTCGGCTAAACGTATAGACCTTTCCTCATCTGCAGCAGGCATTCCTGGTGCTGGGAAGAGAACAAAGAAAAGTATTTCACAGAATTTGCAACTGCCAACCTTGCAAATATCTGATGGGTCCTACTTTCCTACACAGAAAAGGCAGGGGGAACTCCTCCGGGCCCCGGGGAGACCCTCAACTGCTCAGCCACCCGCAGCTGCCCAGGTACTGCCCTGCCCCTCTGCCTGCCCCTCCTCACCCCGGCCCGCCCTGCAGTGACCACAGCCCCTTTTCCAGAGGAAGGCTCCGTGCGTGTGAACGGGGGCGAGGACAGCTGCTCCGGCCGCGTGGAGCTCTGGCACGAGGGCTCCTGGGGCACCGTGTGCGACGATGCCTGGGACCTGGCGGACGCGGAGGTCGTGTGCCGCCAACTGGGCTGTGGCAGGGCCATCAGCGCCCTGGCCGGGGCCGCCTTTGGTCCAGGCTCAGGGCCTGTGTGGCTGGACGAGGTGGGGTGCCGGGGCAGCGAGGCGTCCCTGTGGGGCTGCCCAGCGGAGCCTTGGGGACGTGCGGATTGTGGGCACAAGGAGGACGCGGGCGTGCGCTGCTCCCGTGAGTGGGCCGGCGTGTGATGGGAAGTTTCCTCGCTGCGTTCTCTTGGGAATAAGCTGAATTGTTGTGGTTTCTGCTAACATTTGGGGACATCTCTTGTTTTTTACCCCCAATTCATGTCTACTCCGGGAGAGTTGGGGTACCTTGTGTCAAGTGCAGTGTGACCTCATTCTGTTTGCAGAGAACAAAAATGACCACAGTGATCCCCACTGTGCGTGTCTCACTGAGCAGGAGTAGCTAGCTCCCTGCGCCATGGGTGGGGGGGGGGGGGGGGGAGGCTGCTCAGGAGCCTCTGTTTTGGACCCATGATAGTCACTGTTTTAGAGCGGAAACCTCAAGCCCTCACCAGCACACACCGGTCAATCATGGGGTGCTTTGCCCAGCAGATGCCCCCTCAGCAATTCAGAAGCACATGGTGGCCCCTGAGGGTGAGGGTGTGGGCCCTGGGGGCTGCCTTCTCCCCCTCAGCCACCAGGAACCGCTGGTGGTCTCTCCTTCCACAGAGCCTGGCCCTGCTCCCCTGCGGACCCCAGAGCCCTGCCCGATGCTCAGGGCGGTCAGCACAGTTCTGGGAGCGCTTCTTGGTCTCCTCTTTCTGGGCCTCCTGGGCCTCCTGATCCTGCTGCGAATCACGCAAGCCAAGCAGAGAGGTATGTGCACCCACCGGGTCCCGATGGCCAGCATGGCAGAAACCAGGGGAAACTGAACGCTGTTGTTGGGGTCCCTGACGTGGGGTTTCACTTCAAGTGAGTGGCCTTTTCTTGGCCAAACAGAGTGACTTAGAAATTAGTCAGCCCCAGGCCCCTGGGACTCGGTGCTGACCCTAGGAGGTCCCACCCGGAAACCACATGGAGGCTCACTGGGCAGCAGCCTCAGGCCCTGCTGAGAGCGGCTGGTGGCCAGGGGTGGGAGGGCACGGAGGGCCTGGTCCCATCACTGTCGCCTCCCAGGCCCTGCCCAAAGCATCCTGCCTTTCTGCTGCCCAAGTGGGGTTTCCCCCTGAAAGTCCCGCCCCCGCCCCCAGCCCACGGACTCGTCCACACCCGGGGTCTGAGTGTGACCCTGCTCCCCTCTCCGCAGGCCTGGGAAGGTTCGGAGGCGTCTCCTGGAGAGCCTCACCTATGAT